TAATTCTGCCTTCCAACAACCACCATTGCGGGCTTTTTCGGCCCCATTCATTCATTCAATCAATCATAATTATATTTTTGATTGTAACGGGATGAGTGATTGCATAAGGTGGAACAGCTTGAATTGTTATCTTGGTTAAAAAGGGGATGCAGCAAACCTGTGTGAACTCCAAGCTGTCTCTGAACGAGCAATATGAACGCACCAATGGCAGCATCCATCGGGAAAACTCGAGTAATGCATGCCGACCTCAGCAAGTCATGATCATCCAAGACAGATGATGGATGGGGGATCAACTGCTGGCGTGCCATCCGCACTACTGTACGTAGTACGTATAGAGTAAACCTTTTCGGGGTTTGCGGTAAGATGAACCAGCATCCGAAGGCGCTTTCAGGAAAAGGCAAGAGATGTTCTGCATGTTCCGTGTCTGAAACGTACTGAGCGGTTGGCCTAGTGTTGACTTCGGCCGCCGTAGGTGGGAAGAAGAAAAGGAACCTCCCGATCCTACATACTCCTCAACAGAAAAGCTAGCTTCCTGCCAGCGTGCTATTGGCTGGCGAGCCTTCCAAAATCCCACTGGGCGACTGGATGATATGTTCTAGGGGGAGAGCTAAAGATATCCCAGGTGTCCGAGTGGAAGAATCGGATAGACGAGCAGGCAGGGTGGGTGATCCAGATCTCTTTCGTGATGGCATAAACTCTTAGACGCGTGATTCCCTTGTCGTTTCCCTGTCTATTCACAAGAGCTTAACATCTCGTCGTAAAGGGTCTCGCGCTTAGGTCAGACGTGGACGGTCTTGAGCAACTGGAGATATCAGGAATAATAATAAAAAGAATGCACTCGATTCTATTCTTAGAAGTGCAGCGACCGAGCGCCTCATTTTCGACTGGCCGAGCTTGTTCCGCCTAGCTCTGCTGTCTATGTGGAACCCAAATCCCTCTATTTGAAATAATTAGTGTCTAGCTTGAGATAGCAAAGAAGAAGAACTTTTTTTTCCCCTCTGTAGATAATTTACATACCGGAGGGGCGTCATGGACATCGAGATCTTCATATCTCCACGTCCAGAGTGGTGAAATCAAGCTTCTGAGTTTATACGGAATCTCCTTCGACGCGAGGAACAGGCTCAACGTTCTCCTAGCCAAAGCGACCACAAAAAGTTGACAGCTGCAGCCCCTAGTCCGCTCTTCAAGGGTATTTTGTGAAGGTGGTGACAGGGCCCACCATTCCTGGTCCTTGTATTCCCGTGTGTGGAGACCTTCCTGCAGGAAAAATGGAGGGTGAGGCAACGGTGGTGGCTGGTTTGCAAACTGTGGATATGA